GGTTGTAAGGAATCCACCAAGAAGGTAAAAACTCAGTGGATGTTGGTGTTGAATAGTAATATTTAAAAATTAGATTCTAATTATACTCTTATGCTCCAGGGAAAAGGAAAATATCTCAAGATAGTTGAGAAAGAGTGCATTGTTAGTGAGATAATTATTGGGATATACATGTACTAGCTTTTGTAGTACAGTAGTCAATAGATGTATTGACTTTTGAATTTGGTTGATAAATTGATATATACATCTGTTTACTTCATGTTTTGTTAATTGGTGAATTGTTGGGATATATATGTACTAGTTTATATAATTATGATAATTTAGTTGTAAAACCGTGAATAGATGTATTCACTTACGTATCTGGTTGTTTCTTGAATTGATATATACATCTATTAACTTTCACGTTTTGTTAATTGTTGAATTATTAATACATACATATATTTACTCAATCATCTATTAACTCATATATATTTTGATGATTTGAGTTGCATGAATTTGACTCGAATTTATTAGTATGAGTTCCTTGCAATTATGGTGGGATGTTTGTACTGATGTCTCAACTCCATTTATGGGGTCAATGGGAGTATATACAACAATGCTATCTAGTGTAGAGTACACTTGTGTAGAACTCTCATAGCTAAGGTAGATGTTTTTTCGACCCGTAGGAGCAAGTCAGAAAGATTGAGAAATAGAACCATTGACATTTACATTCGTCCGAAATAGCTTCTTACTTCCTTCTATGGAGTCAATACAGGTATCCACAGTATCAACAACAATGCAGTACTCTGTCCCCAGCTCATTCGACAACACATTTAAAAACCATGTGACATCTCTATCCTCAGCTAGTCTTATAATAAGAAACTTGTAACTATTATTCTTGACCAACGATATACATGGAACTTTTTGCCCGTTTGTTAAATGAATATTCTTCCTAATGCCTTCGATAAGTTGCGACAACATACAGTCCTTTTGAATTAACATCTGTTAGATGTTGAAATTGTTGTACCCATTTTTTTTCATTCCACGTGCCACCGTATAGAATTGTGATTACTACATTCACCATTATTGGAAGGAAAGAATGAGCTAAAAAAAGAAGATACAATAGAATGACAAGAAGATGAGATGAGGACAGTAGAATGGCAGAAGGATGAGATGAGGACAGTGAAACACTGATAACGTTTAAATTAAATGAAATTACTAATAAAAGAATTAAAACATTTAAGAAAAAATCCCTGGTAGGAAACCAAACTTTAGTTTGAATTGAATAGCAAGTTTGTTAGGGTTGTTAAATAATGTAAATTCCAAGTAAAATATAGGAAGGACATTGTGGGGAAAAAATTTTAAAATGTAAAATTTCAAATATACCCTCTAGCCATTTTTGCAAAATTATAAAGTAATGTACATTTTGTTAACTGGGTGGCCAAATTTAGCCACACACCTAAATTTCCCATATTAATACTCCGATATGGCCTCAATTTTATGAAAATATTGATCCAAAAAATTATAAAAATAAAAAACTTCGTAAAAATATTTAAAGTAACAAATAATCATTTCACCATTTCTAAATGAGTTAAAAATTATTAAAATTAATTTTATGTTTGTATTGGTGATATTTTGTCGATTTCTTCTAAATACTATGAAGATGTCGATTTACTCAGGTTGATGTCGAGTCCATAGATGCATTGAAATGTTTATATATTGACAGAAATTTAATGCCAGAATTTTATCTTGGTGTGGGTCTTCTTATTGCGGCAACTAACAAAAGAAACAAAGTTCGAGAGAGTTAATGAACCGGTTTTTCTTTGATATTTTTTCAGCTTCATTTTCATTTAGAAGGTTTTACTGTTATTTTGTTATTGCTGGTGATATGAATCAAATTGATGGGTTGTAGATCACATGGATCGAACTACTATAAATAGTATATTATTTATTTCTCTTAAGCTTTTTTTTTCTTTCATTCAAGAACAATGCAGAAGAAGAGAAAAAACATAAAGAAAACAAAACCAAAAACCAGGGAATATCATAATAGTTTAGGATCGGTTTGATAACCATTTCGTTAACAGGAGG